GGAGGCCGAGGCTCGTGGATCGCTCAAGGTCAGGAGTTCAAGACCAGCCTGAGCAAGAGTGAGACCCCGTCTCTACTAAAAATAGAAATAAATTATTTGGACAACTAAAAATATATATAGAAAAAAATTAGCCGGGCATGGTGGCGCATGCCTGTAGTCCCAGCTACTGGGGAGGCTGAGGCAGGAGGATCGCTTGAGCCAGGAGTTTGAGGTTGCTGTGAGCCTGGCTGTCGGCACGGCACTCTAGCCAGGGCAACAGAGCCAGACTCTGTCTCAAAAAACAAACAAACAAACAAACAAAAATACCCACAGTATTCATGGGATGTGAAACCCGCATATATCGAGGGCTGCCTTTGTATACATGGGTTCCACAGGGCCAACCATGGGACTTGAGTATGTCTGGATTTGGGTATATGTGGGTGGTCCTGGAACTGTAATGAGAACAAATGTGGGAATGAAGCATTTCTAAAAGGTGGATTGAACTCACTTGTGATCCAGACCTTTTTCTCTGTCATGAGTGACCTCTACCAGTCTTTTCAGTCTCTCCTGTAACTTCTCTTCTGTCCAGGTTTTTATCTTTTCTTGAGTCAAGTTGAATCACTTCTATTTTGCTAGAAAACTATCATTCCTTCTAAATTTTCAAATGTGTTGCCTCAAACCTGCCCATTGTTGGCTGTGGTTGTCTCATCCTCTTTCTGGCTGTGGTGTGTAGTCCTTTCTCATTCTCTCTAGTCTGTCAGTGTTTTTATATACCCAGTATGGTTCAGTTTGCCAATAATTTATTTAAAAATTTTTTGGATCTATATTCATGAATATATTTTTAAAATATTTGTTTATTTGTAAAATTCATGACAATTTTTTTTTTTGAGGAATATAACTAAAAGCATGGCAACGGTTTGCAGTCACTCTACAGAAGGATGGTAGAAATTGGGGTGCGGCTGACATTCTAGTGGTACGTAGTTAAAGGTCAAAGTTCTAAAAGGATTGTTTTTAAAAACCAGTCATGCCACACTGCTGCTTCCCCAGAGGAAACAATGTTCCCAAAGGGATAATTAGGCATCTAATTATTAGGCATCTGTTGAGTTCTGTGATGAGTGATTTAGCTCTTTCCTGTTCTGCCCTCCACACAGGTTTAACCTTCCTGTCCCAAAATAATTACACTGATTTTGTTTAGGCCAACATTTATTGTTTATATTATTATAATTGTTTAAATGCTCTTCACAGCTGAGCCGGGAGGTAAACTTTCATTACCATTCCTTCCTCCTCTCCCATTACCTTTTGCTTTCCATAAAGTTATTATTTTTAAAAAAAAAAATTGCTTAATTTTCTATGTTATATTCAACTCCACATTTTGACCAATTATCTGTATTGATTTCTGACATGGCTTCCCACACTATTTTGTTCTCTGACCTCTGGAGAATTCTAGGGCTTGAGCTTGCCTCTTCCTAGCTTCACAGTATCTGGTGCGAGTGGAAGTGTTGGCCCCCAGATTCCACATACTAGGGAAGACTGGCAGGAATTAGACTGGCATGTTTTAGCGTTCAGTATCACTGCTTTTTTGCCCATTTCAGTATCACTAACCGCTTGTAAATATTCTGTATTTCTCTGAGAGTCATTCGCCGTCAGCCCAGTCCCTGGTGCCGAGGTCTGTACAGTACAAGCGATAGTCATGTTAGCTGTTTAAGCCATAGAAATCAACTGAGGGGGAAAAAGAAACTAATAGAAGAAAACCAAGATCTCATGATTGGAAAAAAGATAGAGATAATGCTAAAATTGATAAAACGTGAAAAAGAGGTCATAATAACCCCAAATGGAAGGAAAGCTAACCGGGCAGGCCTGGACACTCGGGCGCAGCCATCAGTGGATTCGCCCCTTACGCCCTGTCCCAGTGCGGCATGGGCCCGGCGGCACCGGGCTCTTTACCTCTTCGTTCCAATTTTCAAAATCCCAGGAGAGCCATGGAATAGACCTAGTTTGGGGCAGTTGTTTTCCTCTGGATCGGTGGACTGTGTATGTGGTTAGACCTTGGCCAGAACTGGGCCCAGAGAAGGAAGAGGTGTTCCAAGCAGGGCAGCTGCTGTCTGTGCAGCATAAACTGCGTTTTTCACATCCACAAGCCTGAATTTACTTATCAGTAAAACCAGGTTACTGTGAGAATTGCGTGAGATGATACCCGTGAACGTTGTGTGTAGACTGAGCAGCAAGCAGCAGTGCGCAGCCCAGGCTGCTGAGCATGGTGTGGCAGTGTTGCTTCAAGGCCCCTGTCTAGCCTGTGCCTTCCTTCTCCTTCAGTTGAGCCCTGGGTCACTGCCGAGAGTGGTTTGGACATGCGATTGTGCATGGCAGACCCCCACCCTGAGTCTCCCTGGTGAGTGCTGTCCAGCCTTCAGGAGGTCTTTCCAGCCAGCCCAGCTAAGTCACTGTGCTTCTTACATCTTGGACACTCCTGTCTTTCCTCTGTTGTCTTACCTACTATGCTGTAGGGTGGGATCGTGCCCTTGCACCTGTGTGTTGTGGGCATGTACTGTGGAGCCTGGTACAGAGTAGGCACATACAAATGGGTGTTGGTTGAATGCATGAAAGTAATACATGTTTATGAAATCAGTGGATCCCTATGTCTGTTGTTATGTTACTTTCATTGTTGCCCAGGGCACGGAGATCTGGTCAAGCCTTCTACAGCCTGCTGCTCTGGTGAATTTGGTGGCCTACCCTCAGCTGCAGCTGGTTGTCACCGTGGACAAGCGAGGATTGATCAAATCATGGAAGGCAGAGAATGGGTGCGAGCTGGCCTCCTTCTGCCTGCCGACACACTCATCTGCGTTGGAGGCCTGTGACCATCCTGAGGGCCCATTCTTGCTGGTGAGTGACCCAACTCTCAGGAGCCTCTGAAGGTCCTGACTATCTCCAGGGTCTGTGGACACTGGCGCCATGACCACCACGGTGGATGGAGCCTCAAGCCAGGCCCTCTACATGGCAGACCATGTCACTCTCCTACTCAGATCCCCAACCCCTTGCCTGCCATGTGACGTGCAGACTCCTTGTCCTGGCCTTTGATTCTAGCACGTGGCAGCAGCCTGTCTCCATAGCCCATCTCTGTAGCATCTCCTTTTCTGTCACTTGAGATCTGTGCACTAGGGTTTTTTGCTCTGTGCTTTTGCCCCCTGCTTCCTGACCCTTGCTTATAGTCTGTTCTACCTGCAATTTTTTCTTACAGCTGCATTCCTATCCTTCATTCCTGTTTCTCAAGTCCTTGCTAACGTCTAACTCAGGAAAAACTGAGTGATGTTTGACAGGATGTGAGCATTTGCCCAAGACAGTGAAGGCCTTCGATAGCCCAGGCAATAGTTTAGAGATGGTTCTTAGGCATTGGAGAGATTTGAGCAGGGAAAAACACAATGGAGGTGGTAGTTAAGGTGAGAAATTGAGGAAGCAGCTCTCGATTGGAGCTGGTATCATCCACTTGTGGGGGAAAGGGGTATTTGAAAGTGTGGGCAAGCTAGTATTCCCAAATAAAAAAATGATTAGACATCCAGGAACAATTTTTTATTGATACCTAAATATGTTTTTGAGGCACATGTGATAATTTAATACATTCATGTAATTTATAAAGATCAAATCAGTATAATTGAAGTATCCCTCACCTTAAATATTTATCTTTTCTTTTCTTTCTTTTTTTTTTTTTGAGACAGAGTCTTGCTCTGTTGCCCAGGCTAGAGTGCTGTGATGTCAGCCTAGCTCATGGCAACTTCAAACTCCTTGGCTCAGGTGACCCTCCTGCCTCAGCCTCCCAAGTAGCCCAGACTACAGGAACTCACCACCACACCTGGCTAATGTTTTCTATTTTTAGTAGAGACAGGGTTTCGCTCTTGCTCAGTCTGGTCTCGAACTCCTAAGCTCGAGCGATCCTCCCGCCTTGGCCTCCCAGAGTGCTAGGATTACAGGCGTGAGCCACCATGCCCGGCCCTATTTATCTTTTCTTTATGCTAGAAACATTCAAATTATTCTCTTCTAGCTATTTTAAAATATGCAATAGATTATTGTAAATGATAGTCATCCTACTGATCTATCAAATACTATGTCTTATTTCTTCTGTCAAACTGTATATTTGTACTGATTAATCAAACTCTCTTCATTAACTCTGCCACTCCTCCCACCTCTGGTAACCACCAGTCTACTCTCTATCTTCGTGTGATCTACTTTTTTAGCTCCCATATATGAGTGAGAACATACGATATTTGTCATTTCTGTGCTTAGCTTATTTTACTTAATATAATTACCTCCAGTTCCATCTATGTTGCTACAAAGACAGGGTTTCATTCTTTTTTTATGGTTGAGTAATATTCTATTATGTATATACATCACATTTTCTTTATCCATTCACCTGTTGATGGGTACTTAGGCTGAGTTTTTTTCTTTTTTCTTTTATTTTTTGTTGAGATGGGGACTTGCTGTGTCACCTAGGCTGGTCTCAAACTCCTGGCCTCAAGTGATCTTCCCACCTTGGCTTCCTGAAGGCTGGGATTACAAGCATGAGCCACTGTTCCTGGCTAGGTTGATTTTTTATTTTGGCTGTTGCAAAAAGTGCTACAATAAACATGGGAGTGTAGATATCTCTTTGATATACTGATTTCCTTTCTTTTGGATATATACGCAGTAGTGGAATTCTTGGATCATGTGGTAGTTCTATTTTTAGTTTTTTGAGGAATCTCCATACCATTTTCTATGGTGGTTGTAGTAATTGAACTTCCTGCCAACACTGTATGAGGGTTCCCCTTTCTCAGCATCCTTGCTGGCATCTGTTATTCCCTGTCTTTTTGATAAAAGTCATTTTAACTGGAGCGAGATGATATCTCATTGTGGTTTTGATTTGCATTTCCTTGGTGGTTGCTGATGTTGAGCTTTTTTTCATATACCTGTTAGCCATATGTATGTCATCTTTTGAGAAATGTCTGTTCAGATCTTTTGCCCATTTTTAATCAGATTATTCTATTTTTACTATTGGGTTGTTTGAGCTCCTTATATATTCTGGTTATAAATCCCTTATCAGATGGATAGTTTACAAATATTTCCTCCCATTTTGTGGGTTGTCTCTTCACTTTGTTGATTGTTTCCTTTGCTGTACAGAAACTTTTTGGCTTGATGTTATCCCAGTTATCTATTTTAGCTTTGGTTGCCTGTGCTTTGGATGTTCCATGTGCTCATGAAAACAATGTGTATTCTGTAACAGTTGGGTGAATTGTTCAGTAAATGTCAGTGAGGCCTCTTTGGTCTAGTGTGTAGATTAACTCCAGTGTTTCTTAGTTGATTTTCTGTCTGGATGATCTGTCCATTACTGAGAGTGAGGTGTTGAAGTTCCCTACTATAAATTGTATTCCAGATGTTTGCTTTATATAGTTGGTGCTCCACAGTTGGGTATATAGATATTTATAATTGTTATATCCTCTTGCTGAATTGACCCCTTTATCATTATATAGTGACTTTCTTTGTCTCTTTTTACTATCTATTTTTATTTGATATAGGTATAGCTACTCCTGTTCTTTTTTGGTTTTCAGTTGCATGGAATATCTTTTTCCCACTCCATTTTCAGTCTGTACGTATCTTTATAGGTCAGGTGGGTTTCTTATAGGGAGCATATAGTTGGGTCTTGTTTCTTTATTCATTTGGCCACTCCATGCCTTCCAGTTGGAGAATTGAGTTCATTTATATTCAGTGTTGTTATTGATAAGTAAGGACTTACTACTGTTATTTTGTTGCTTGTTTTCTGATTGTTTATAACTCTTTTCTTCCTTTCTCCCTTTCTTCTAGTCTTCCTTTGTATTAATAGTTAAGTGACTTTCTCTGGTAGTGTGTTTTAATTCATTGCTTTTTATTTTTAGTGAATCTGTTGTAATTTTTTGCATTGTGGTTACCATGAAACTTATAAAAAACATCTTATCGGTATAATAATTTATTTTAAATAGATGAAAACTTATCTTAGATCATAAAGAAAAGAATATTCCCAAAGAAAAAAACGGAAAAAAGCTCTACGCTTTAACTCCATACCCCCACATTTTGACTTTGTTTCAGTTTACATATTTTTATATTGCCTATCTTTTAATAGGTTGCTATAGCTATTATTATGTTGGATAGATTTATATTTTTGGCTTCATAGTAGAGTTATAAGTGGATTGAGCACCACAATTACAGTATTAGAGTATTCTGGGTTTGTCTGTGTACTGAATTTTATCAGTGGATTGTAGACTTTTAAGTGTTTTCTATTTGCACGTTAATGTTTTTTACCATATGCTTGGTGCTGGGCAGATGAGGAGAGAGGGGAAGGGCATTTCATATACGGAAATCTGATTCTTTTACCATGTGCTTGGAGGTTTTTCACTTCTGTGTAGCCCTGGGAATTGTCTCATATTTGAGTTCTGGGATATCGCTGGTGATAATCTCAGTGCTATGTATTTGTTTTTGGTTTTTTGTGGATGGGAATACGAAGCCAGCTTGCTTCTACTTCATCATTTTGGAACTGGAAGTCTCCAGGAGCAATTCATTTGCTTATTTTTATTTGTTTATTTATTTTAAAATATGGAACGCTTCACAAATTTGCATGTCATCCTTGCACAGGGGCCATGCTATCTTCTCTGTATTGTTCTAATGTTAGTATATGTGCTGCCAAAGCATGCACACCCAGGAACAATTTAATATTTAAACAAAACTAATTCTGTTAAGGAGAGGAACTTAGCTTAGCGATCAAAAAAGTAAGACCAGCCAGATGCAAGGGCTCATGCCTGTAATCCCAGCATTTTGGGTGGCTAAGGTAGGAGAATTTCTTGAACCCAGGAGTTTGAGACCAGCCTGGGCAACATGAGACCCCCTCTCTACAAAAAATAAAAAATATTAGCTGCGTGCAGTGGTGCATACCTGTAGTCCCAGCTACTCAGGAGGCTGAGGCAGGAGGATTACTTGAGCCCAAAAGTTCTATGCCATAGTGAGCTATGATCGTGCCACTGCACTCCAGGTTGGGTGACGGAGCAAGACCCTATCTCTTAAAAAGAAAAAAAATTATTTTTAAAAATTAGCCAGGTGTGGTGGCACACACCTGTAGTCAGCTACTCAGAAGGTTGAGGTGGGAGGCTTGCCCAGGAGTTCAAGACTGCAGTGAGCTATGATCACACCACTGCCCTCTAGCCTGGGCAACAGAGCAAGACCCTGTCTCAAAGAAAAAAAAGTAAGACCTAATAAAACAGATTTAATGTAAACAACTTTATAGTTGTTAAAAAGACTTTAGAATAAGTATAATTAATATCTACAGAGAAATTTGAGAAAATGCTGTGTAGATAAAGAAGAAACAACTACAGTTCTCCTCTGGGAATGACAGACCATGGAATTCACATTAGTTGTGAAGGACAACTAAAAAAGTTAAGGGAGGAAATATGTACATAAAATCTACTTGATAACATCAGAGAGCTAAAAAGAGAGTGGATAATTTCTAGGGCAAGATTCAAGAGATGACAAAAATCTAAGTGATGAGTCCTATCATTAGGGGCTGTTTTTCCATGAAGACATCTACTCCAAGACAGCTGACAGGCTGAGCAGACCTTTCACAGCCTAAAGGACAAAAGTTGGATTGCAAGGCCACCAAGGATGGGAAACCTGTGAGTCCTCATACATTGAGTGAGATTAGCAAGTGTTGGAACTGAAGGGTAAGGGTGGACCACTAGGAAAACAGCCCTTGCACAGGCTGCAGCTCACACCCCTGGTCCCCTGGTAGGAGTAAGTGAAAATACTTTCTGGAGAAAGATAGCAGAACCTTACACCTCACATTATTTTCATTTTCAAATCAAACATTCAACCCACGCTTAAAACCAGGCACATCAGGAGATAAGACAATGTAAAGAGAGTCACAGGGGCTTTAGGTATTCTAGTTAGTAGATGCAGACATTATGAAACCTATAGTTGCTATGTTCAGGGTGAGAAATTTCAGCAGAGAACTTAAAGCTATAAAAAATAACCATAACAGATCTATTATAGAGTAGGAAAATTCACTAACAGGTTACAAACTCAGTGGATGGATTTAATAGCAGGGTAGATCGTTGAATCAGGCAGTGATTGGAGCAGGGGCAAGGGGAGCTTGTAGGCTCCCAGTAATATGCTATTTCTTAACTTAGATGATGACATGAATATTTGCTTTGTAATAATTTATTCAACTCTATACTTAGGTTTTGTGCAGTTTTCCATATGTATGTTATACATCAATTAAAAAGTTAAGAATATGAAGGACAATTAGTGAACTGGAAGAGAAATCAGAAGAAACTATCTAGAATTAACCATAGGGATACCAAAAGCGGTAAACGTGGAAGAGAGGGTAAGAGATATAGATTAGGGTTTCTCGGATTTTAATGGGCATATGAATCACAAGGAGATCTTGTTTAAGTGCAGATTGTGATTGAGGAGGTTCCTGGAAATGCCTCACATTCTGATTTTAATAAGCTTCTAGGTAATGTTAATGCTGCTCCTCAGAAACCGTATGGTCCACAAGGCTATAAAGGATCCACAAATAATTCCAGTGTTTGTTTAATTAATATCTTAGGGGTAGAGTAGGGATGAACCGGGCAGAAGAAACATTTGGAGAGATAATAGCAGATACTTTGCCAGAATAGGCTAACCACATGAAATCAAGAGGGCCTACAACCCCAAGAAGAATAAATAAAAATAAATCTACATATGAATCCATCAGAGTGAATTAAGATAACTGAAGACTATGAAAAAAATCTTAATAGCAGCCAGAGAAAATAAAACTACCTTCAAGACTGCTTACAGCAACAGTAGAAGCTAGATAATGATGGAATGGTATCTTTAAAGATAGAACTACCTACTGAGAATTCCATAGCTAGAAAAAGTGTTTTTCAAGGATGAAAAAATGGAGAATTTATAACAACCAGACTACCACTCAAAAAAAAAAATACTAATGGGACTTCCTTAGGCAGAAAGAAAATGATCACAGATGAAATTCAGAGAGGCAGGAAAGATTGAAAAGCAATAAGAATGGGAAACAGGCCAGGTGC